GAGGATCACTTGAGCTCAGGAGTTGGAGTTGGAGACTGCAGTGAGCTATGATCATGCCACTGCACTCCAGCCTGGGTGACAGAGTGAGACCCCATCTCTAAAAAATAAATTCAAATCTTATTTACGTAACATTTTTAAAGAAAACTATGATCACCTGTTACTAGAATAGAAAAGTTTGACATAAAGGAGATAAAAGTTTGCCCACCTCCGACTTCAGAGTCCATGTTTTTAACTAGCCACACTGTGCCCTCTTATAGGAGAAAGTAGGTGTTCTGATCCATTGTGGCTGGGTCTCCCCATAAGCTTGTGGGGAGAAAATCCCATGGCATCACCCTCTTCACTCAGTCCTGGGGTAAGGAGTGGAAGACACCTACTCTATGAAGTGAGGAGGGTCTACACCTTCCTTTTTAGCCACATGCATATCCCATGTATATGTGTCCAAAAACATTTATACACATGCCTATAATTTTCTCTCACATCGTCTATTTTGTCCTTGATCACTATTCTCAATGCAGTAGATTTATAAGTCTTGGTATCCAATAGAGCAAGTTGCCCCACTTTATTGTCTGTCTTCAATAGTGTCTTGCCTATTTTTGATCCATGAATTTCCATATTGATTTTAGAATCAGCCTGTCAAAAAAAAGTTGGGATTTTTATTGGGAGTGCATTAAACAAATTTGGGGTGCAGTAGATAAATTTACAACCTGAGGGTTTTTGTTTTTTTTTTTGAATTGGGAATTTCCCTGTGTTGCCCATACTAGAATGGGGTGGCATGATCACCGCTCACCACAGCCTTGACCTTCTGGACTCAAGCAGTCCTCCTGTGTTAGCCTCCAGCGTAGGTGGGACTAGGTATGTACCACCACACCTGGCTAATATTATTTTTTTTATAGAGAAAGCTCTTGCTATGTTATCCAGGCTGGTCTTGAACTCCTGGGCTTAAATGATTCTCCTGTCTCAGCCTCCCAAAGTGCTGGGATTTCCTTTTTTTTTTTTTTCAGTTGGAGTCTTGCTCTGTCACCCAAACTGGAGTGGAGTGCAGTGGTTGCTCCCGGCCACTGCAGCCTCGACCTGCTGGGCTCCGGCGATCCTTCCGCCTCAGCCTTCCAAGTAGCTGGAACTACAGGCGTGCGCTACCACACCCGGCTAATTTTTTTGATTTACTATAGAGATGAGGTCTCGCCAAGTTGCCCAGATGGCTCTCGAAACCGTGGGCTCAGGCAATCCACTCGCCTCAGCCTCCCAAAGGCACGGGATTACAGGCTGAGCCACCGAGCCCGGCCAGTACTGGGATTTCAAGTGTGAGCCACCAGGCCTGGCCACAATCTGCACATTTTAATCCACGAATATGCTATACCTCATCATTTATCTAAGCCTTAATTTCACTCAATAATGTTATAATTTTTTATGAAATCTTTTTATCTCTGTGGTTAAATTTATTCATAGGTATTTGATTTTTTTTTTTAACCTGCATCCCCGAGGTAGGGAGGGGGGCCAAAGCCAGGAAACATGGCGATGGCCATAGCTCAAAGAGCACATGGCCACACCAGGCTCTAGTAAGGCAGTGGCCCTGCTGATTTTTTTTTTTTTTTTAATTGTAGTGATAAGGTCTCGCCATGTTGCTCAGGCTGGTCTTGAACTTGTGGGCTCAGGAGATCCTCTCACCTCGTCCTCCCAAAGTGCTGGGATTTTAGGAGTGAACTACTGCACCCGGCCTGATATATTTTTGATGCTAATACTAGATGATCTTTCTCTCTTTTTTTGTAAATTAATTTATCCTTTATATTACAATCAGGGCATTATATTAATTTTTTTCTTTAAAATACACTTTACCAAAATATACATACATAAAGGCACACACATTGTATCACTTACTGGATGTTCACAAATCAGACCAAGCCATGTAACCAGCACAAATTAAGAAACAAAACATGATCAGCTCTACAGAAGCCCACTGATGTCCCCACCAAGCACTACTGCTCACTTAGTTTTGATTTGTTTTGAACTTTTTGTAAGTGGAATTGTATAGCTATAATCTTTCTTATCTTTATTCTTTCACTCAAAATTATTATTATTATTAGAGTCAGAGTCTTACTCTGTCACCCAGGCTGGAGCGCAGTAGCACGCTCACGGCCACCATAGCCTCGACCTGCTGGGCTCAGCCCATCCTTCCACCTCAGCCTTCCAAATAGCTGGAACTGCAAGTGCATACCACCACGACTGGATAATTTTTTAAAAATTTATTGTAGGGGCAACCCCTTCGGGTCCCCTCCCGCTGTGGGAGCTTTTCTGTCCTCTCAATAAATCTTGCTTTCTCACTTTAAAAAATAAATAAATAAATCTATTGTAGAGACGAGGTCTTGCCAAGTTGCCCAGGCTGGTCTTGAACCCCTGGGATCGGGCAATTCTTTTGCCTCTGTCTCCCAAAGTACTGGGATTATAGGCGTGAGCCCCCACACCCGGCTTCAAAATTATTATCTTTTCAGTGATAGAGTCCCTCTCTGTCACCCAGGCTGTAGTGATAGTCATAGTTTACTGCCGGTTAGAACTCCTGAGTTCAAGTAATCCTGCCTCAGCCTCCTGAGTAGCTGAGACTATAGGCACATGCTACAATGCCTGGCTAATTTTTAAAATATTTTTGTGGGCAACCCGTTTGGGTCCCTTCCCACTGTGGGAAATTTTCTGTCCTCTCAATAAATCCTGCTTAAAAAATAAAATTAAAAAAAAAAAAAAATATATATATATATATATATATATATATATTTTTTTTTTTTTTTTGGGTAGAGATGGAGGTCTTGCCAGAGTTAGTCTCAAATTCCTCACCTCAAGCAATCTCTCTGCCCTGGAGTCCCAAAACATTGGGAGTACAGGCATGAGCCACTGCATCCCATCTTTTAATTGTTATTTGCTAGTTATTTATTTCTAAATAACTTTTTGTACATTGAAATGAAATTAATTCTTTGGCTTTACAGTCAACAAACTTGATATACTCTTTTTTATCCTAACACTTTACCTGTAGATTATTTTTTTATTTCCTGTGAATGAGGATTTTGTTTCTGCCTTTCTAATCTTCATACATTGTATTTTTTATTGTTGTATTTTGTTGTTGTTGTCTTACCTGCTCTGGCTAACACAAAAAAGTCCAGTGTTGAATAGAAGCAGTGATGACAGACATATCCAGTTTCCAGTGGAACTTTTCACAGTTACTTCCTCCATGATGTGTGATGTTGGTTATCAGTGTTTTTTGTACATACCAATCCCATACTATATTAAGGAAGTTTCCTCCTGGTCCTAGTTCTCTTAGAGGTTTTTTGTTTTTGTTTTTAGCAGAAATGAATTTTATCAGAAGTTTTTTCTGCATCTGTTGAGATGATCATATACTTTTTTTCCCCTTTTCTATAAGTGTGGTGAGTTATATTGATTGATATTTCTAATGGTATACCAACCTTGCATTCCTGGAATGAACCCAACTTGTTTGTGATACATTATCCTTGTTATAACTTACTAGATTTGGCTTGTTAATATTTTGTTTAGAGTTTTTTATATCCATAATTGTGTTTGGCCTTAAATTTTCTTTTTCATACTATTATCAAGTTTTGGGATTAAAGTTGCATAAACCTCATTAAAGAAGTTGGGGCATGTATCATCTGTCTTTATTTTCTGGATACAACTGGTTATGAATAAAAGAGAGAATGAAGCCGGGCTCGGTGGCTCAGCCTGTAATCCCGCGCCTTTGGGAGGCTGAGGTGAGTGGATTGCCTGAGCCCACGGGTTTGAGACCCACCTGGGCAGCGAGACCTCATCTCTACAATAAATCAAAAAATCAGCCGGGCGTGGTAGCGCATGCCTGTAATTCCGGCTACTCGGAAGGCTGAGGCGGAAGTATCGCCGGAGCCCAGCAGGTCGAGGCTGCGGTGGCCGGGAGCGGCCACTGCACTCCAGTCTGGGTGACTGAGTGAGACTCCAACTCAAAAAAAAAAAAAAAAAAGAGAGAATGAATAAATAACCAAAATGAAAAAGGAGCCAAAACACAGATACTGACTTCACAGCAACTTGGATGGATTTGGAGTTGATCTATCACAGAAATAAAGAACAGAGTACCATATTGTTCTCACTTATAAGTGGTTCTTGAGCAATTATAAGAAAGGGATTGACAGTAGTGGGAAACTGTCAGGGGAGGGGGGTAGGATTGGCAGTTGAGGGAAACTGCTAGGGGAGGGAGGGGCATACCTCATCAACAAGAGTACCGGCATAATCAGCGTTTGTATACCTAACCCTGAATTGTACCCCACATCTTTATAATAAAAAAAAGAAAATATGAAAAAACACAGATACTGCAAACTATAATGAAAAGATATTTTGAACACATTTCAGCCAGGCATGGTGTTTCGTGCCTGTAATTCCAGCACTTTGGGAGGCCAAGGCAAGAGGATTGTTTGAGCCCAGGAATTCAAGACCAGCCTAGGCAACATAGTGAGACCTCGTCTCTACAAAAAATTTAAAAATTATCTGGATGTGGTGGTGCCCCCCCTGTAGTCCTAGCTAGTCAGAAGACTGAGCCCAGAATGTCAAGGCTGCAGTGAGTGGTGATCGTGCTATTACACTCTAGCCTGAGCAACAGATTATGATCCCACCTCAAAAAAAATGTTATTTGCTTCTACCTGAATAGAACATAGGCTTCAGAAGAACAGGAACTGTATTTATCTTCCTATTATGTTCCTTACCTAGAGCATGTCTGGCCTTCTAAATATTTGGATTAATTTGCCAATTTGATAGGCAAAAAAATCATAATTTATTTTGAGTTAAATTCATTACTAATGAACTTGAATATTTTTATTCTGTTGATTGGTCATCTTTACTTCTGAATTCTACCTGTCACATGTTTTCTATTAAAGCATCTACCTTTTGCATAATGATTTATAGGAGCTTTTAATACATAAGGGATATTATTCCTGGTAGGTGGTTTTCTCTAGTAATTCATTTATGTTTTTATGTAACAGATTCTGAGATTGGGAATGAGAAGGAACTATCCATTCTAAACCAGAAATGTTCTGAAGTAAGAACTCCAGAATTTACATCAAGAAGATTCTTAAGGGGCAATCCACAGGTACCTGAGTTTCAGGAATCTTGGGACCATGAGGTGAAACTAGAAGAGCACCTGGGAAATACTGTTGGGCAGAGTTTGAAGAAACCGCATCTTCACAAAGGAGTTTTTTCAGAAGCTATTGTGGATAGAGAAAGATCTTCTGGAGAAAGAACCCAGGAATGTGGTGCTTTTGATAGAAACTTGACTCTGAACCAAAGTGTTATTAGATTTCAAAGACATAAAACAGGAGAGAGAGTCTTTAAATGTGATGTATGCAGCAAAACCTTCAAATATAATTCAGACCTAAGCAGACATCAAAGAAGTCACACTGGGGAAAAGCCTTATCAATGTGGCTGGTGTGGGCGAGCCTTTACTCACAGCTCAAACCTTGTTCTGCACCGTCAAGTTCACATTGGAAGTAAACCATTTAAATGTGATGAATGTGGTAAAACTTTTGGGCTCAATTCCCACCTCCGTCTCCATCAGAGAATTCACACTGGAGAAAAACCTTTTGGGTGTGGTGTATGTGGGAAGGCCTTCAGTCGAAGCTCCAGTCTTATTCAACATCGTATAATTCACACAGGAGAGAAACCTTACAAATGTAATGAATGTGGAAAAGCCTTTACCCAGAGCCCTCAGTTAACTCAGCATCAGAGAATTCACACTGGAGAAAAGCCCCATGCATGCAGTCAGTGTGGGAAGGCCTTTAGTCGAAGTTCAAGCCTTATTCAGCATCAGAGAATTCACACTGGAGAAAAGCCCCATAAATGCAATCAATGTGGGAAGGCCTTCAGTCAAAGCTCAAGTCTTTTTCTCCATCATAGGGTTCATACTGGAGAGAAACCCTATGTATGTAATGAATGTGGCAGAGCCTTTGGTTTTAACTCTCACCTTACTGAACACATAAGGATTCACACGGGAGAAAAACCCTATGTTTGTAATGAGTGTGGCAAAGCCTTTAGTAGGAGTTCCACTCTTGTTCAGCATCGAAGAATTCACACCGGAGAGAAGCCTTTTCAGTGCACTGAATGTGGGAAAGCTTTCAACCAGAGCTCCCAACTCACCCTACACCAGCGAGTTCACACTGGAGAGAAACCCTATGAATGTGCTGACTGTGGGAAGGCCTTCAGCCGGAGGTCAACCCTCACTCAACATCAGAGAATTCACAATGGAGAGAATCCTCGCAAATGCAGAAAATGTGGTCCAGCCTTTGTTCATAGCTCCAGCCTTATACCAGATGGACGGATTCCCACTGAGAGAAACGTGGCAGGGCCTTCAGCCACAATGCAAACCTCATTCTGCATCGGACAGTTCATGCTGGTGAGAAATTCTTTGGATGTAATGATTATGGAAAAACTTTCAGTCCCACCTCACAACCCATTGAAGATCAAAAGATCCATGCTGGAGAAAAGCTCTATAAATGTCAAGAATGTGGAAAAGTCTTCAGTGGGGGTTCAACCCTTATTCAACATCAGGTAACTCACACTGGTGGGAAACTGTATCATTGCACTGTATGCAGAAAAGTCTTCAGCTGGAGCTCACAACTCACTCTACATCAGCAGACTCATGTTGGAGAGAAACCTTTAGATGACCAATCTGAAAAAGACTTTATTAATATAAAAAATATTTTCCAAGAAAGACATTCTTAATGTGATAAATGTGGGAAACAATTGTTCATTTTACATTGGATAGGATGGCATAATGAAAGTTAAAGAGGAACGTCTAAATATTACTAGCTAAGCAAAATAAGCATCTTGGATGACTTTTAAAGTCATTAAATTTGAAACTAAATGTGAGAGTATTCATTATGGAAATTAAGGCTGTCTGTGTAAAGGTTACTGCTTTGCTCAGAAATTGAACTTTGTGGCAGCATAGTCAGATACTCATGATGAAAATGGATGGAAGTTGCAAAGAGTGAGCCCACTGAGTTCTGTGTCTACCTTACCTTGATATCCTTTCAGTCTTATCTCTTCTTTCCTATCAAAGCCTAGGCTTTTGGCTAAGAATATCCAGTTTCAGTCCTGGACCTACTGGGGATTCAGCCTTATCATCCACTACCTCCCCCATCAACCCGCAGAGGAACTGCAAGTGGGCTTTCCTTCCTCACTTGGAGCCCCAATGTTTGCATTTGTATATGAAAGTTGACTTGTTTTTTGGTTCTAAGGAGCTCTACAGTTCAACAAAGGAAGGATCTCAGCAGCCAGTAAAGCAGGAGTCCACAGGATTTTTTTTTAAGTGAGAAAGCAGGATTTATTGAGAGGACAGAAAAGCTCCCACAGTGGGAGGGAACCTGAAGGGGTTGCCCCAAGATTTTTTTAAAAGGCTAGCTGGGCACAGTGGCTCATGCCTATAATCCTAGTGCTTTGGGAGGCTAAGGTGGGAGGATTGCTTGAGCCGAGGAGTTCAAGACCAGCCTGGGTGACATAACGAGACCTAATCTCTACAAGAAATTTTTTTAAAAATTAGCCAGGCATAGTGGCACACACCTGTAGTCCTAGCGACCTGGGAGACTGAGGCGGAAGAATTGCTTGAGCCCAACAGTTTGAGGCTGCAGTGAGCTGTGCTTGTGTCACTGCACTCCAGCCAGGGCAACAGAGTGAGACTTTAACTATGAATACACAAACAAATAAATAAATAGATGTAGGTTTATTGAGGTATACTTTATATTCAACAAAAGTCACTCTTTTTAGTATATAGTTGTATTAGTCCATTTTGCATTGATATAAAGGCATACTCGAGGGTAGGCAATTTATAAAGAAAAGAGATTTACTTTGGCTCTTAGTTCTGCAGCTGTATAGAAAGCATAATGCCAGCATCTGCTTTTGGTGAGACCTCAGGAAGCTTAGAATCATGGTGCAAGGCAAAGGGGAGCAGGCATGTCACATGTTAAGAGCTGAAGTAAGAAGAGAGAGAAGGTAGGTGTCAGCCTCTTTTAAACAATCAGCTGTCATGTGAACTAACAGCGAAAACGCAGTCATTACTGTGAAAATGGCACCAAGCCATTCATGACAGATCTACCCACATGAACCAGTCACCTCCCACTAGGCTCCCTCTTTAACACTGGGGTCACATGAGATTTGGAGGAGGCAGTCATCCAAACTACATCAATAGTTTTATGGGTTCTGAAAAAAACACAGTTGTGTAACCACCATCACAATCCAGATATAGAACATTTTCATCACCACCCAGAATTCCTCTGTTTACCTCTGTGGTCAACTCTTCCTTATCCCCAGCCCCAGGAAACCACTGATTTGTTTTCTATTCCTGTCACCTCACCATTTCCAGAATTATATTGTATGTAACCTTTTGCATCTGGCTTTTTTTACCGAACATAATGCACTGGAGATTCATCCATGTTGCTTGTATCAATTGTTCATTCTTTTTTATTGCTAGTAGCATTCCATTGTATGCAGTTTGTTTATCCATTTACCCATTGAAGGATATTCAGATGTTTTCAGTGTGGGGCAATTATAAATAAAGTTGCTATAATATTTAACTGCAGGGTATTTTGTGAACCTAACTTTTCAACTCTTTGGGTAAGTAGCTATAAGTTGGATTGCTGGGTCATATGGTAAGCTTATGCTTAACTTTTGAAGAAACTGCCAAACTGTTTGCCAGTCAGTTGTACATTCCCACTGCCAATGTGTGAGAGTTTGGTTGCTTAAGTTCTCACTGGATCTTGATAGTGTCAGGTTCTTTTTTTTCTCCTAACCATTTTATAGGCAAGGTAGTGGTATCCCTGATTTTAATTTACATTTTCATATTGACCATGGTGTAATCAGTAAGCATCTATTTAGAAGCAGCTAGAAAGTTTAAGCAGTAAATTAGAACAAGTAGAAGAAAGGATTTCAGAACGTGAAGACAAGGCTTTCAAGTTAACCCAATGAAGTAAACCAAAACAGAGAAAGGTCCTCAGCACTGAGAGAGGAACAAGACCGGCAGCACACCCACCCCATGACTTACCAGAGAAGTGATAAGATTTAAAGAGTGCAAAGAAGAAAAAAATTGATCAGCCTGGGTTGAAATTAGCCAGACTCATCTGAATCACTGCACAAACCATGAACAGACTGTGGATGCAATGGGGGAAGTGAGTGAGGGAAACTTGGGAGTTCTGTGCTTCTGCCACAGACTTAGAAGGCCCCCTGAGCCTCTTGGGACTCCAGTCCCCCAGGGGAAACTATTTTACCCACAGCCATGCTCTACTGAAACCCGTGTGGAATGGTCCAGGAAAAAAAAAGCCTTGAGTGGTTCCACCCTCCATTTTCCAGAAACTCAACCCTTGCTGACAGCTGCTTTCCAGCTGACCTGGGAGAAAATGGGAAGACCTGACAGTTCCTGGCTGAGGTCCGCTCCATGAGAAGACCTAGGACCAGTCACACTTTTACATTCTGACTGCAGACTGCCTGAGGCTAAGGCAGGAGAGCTGGATGGGACTCACTGCCCTGGCAACCTTTTACTTCCCATGTAAACTCTCGTGTAGCCTCTGCATGACACAGCGGCAATACTCCAGTGGCCAAGGACTCCTTCCCTGTCTCCTCTGGGGCAGCCAATTGTGCACACAAGTGTGGAGCTTGAGCACTTTTCCCCCTTGGACTCTCCTCAAAGTCAAAAAAGAGAACTTGAGTAGTCCCCACAGCCACATTTATCACCTAGGTCAGCTGAGAGCTTCCTTGGGACAACATAGGCCAAGCAGAAAACCCACAGCCACCATCACAGCTGACTCTCTCATGCAAGTGCTGCCTCCTGGCCAGAAGTCAGCTGGCACTGCCCATTATATCTGATATAATACTTCAGCTTTTAGGAAGATCTGAGTCCAGACTCCATCTACCACTGCTATCCAAGTCTCCACCACCTCCACAGTTTGCAGTTGAGAATCTCACCAAAACAAGACTATATATAATTAAGGTAAAACCTACAGAGGCAACATCAACCTCCTTCCAACCTCAAATAAGAATAAATAGTCTACTCAAATGAGAAGGAACCAGAAAAATAATTCTGACAATAAAAAAAACAACAGAGTTCTTCAACATCCTTTAAAAACCACATTAACTCTTCAGGAGTGGATCCTAACCAAAATGAAATTCTTGAAATTCCAGAATATAATTCAAAAGGTAGATTATAAAATTCCCCATAAGATCCAGAAGAAAGTTGAAACCCAGCATAAAGAAATCACTTTAAAAAAAAAAAACAAGCCGGGCTCGGTGGCTCAGCCTGTAATCCCGTGCCTTTGGGAGGCTGAGGTGAGTGGATTGCCTGAGCCCACAGGTTTGAGACCCGCCTGGGCAGGCGAGACCTCATCTCTACAATAAAATTAAAAAATTAGCCGGGCGTGGTAGTGCACGCCTGTAATTCCAGCTACTCGGAAGGCTGAAGCGGAAGGATCGCCAGAGCCCAGCAGGTCGAGTCTGCGGTGGCCGGGAGCATGCCACTGCACTCCAGTCTGGGCGACAGAGTGAGACGCCAACTCAAAGAAAAAAAAACCAAAAAACTATTCAGGACATGAATAAAAGATTCTCCAAAGAGTAAGACACTTAAAAAAGTTAAATTTCTGGAAATGACAGACCAATTTCAGGAAGTACAAAATGTGGTGGAAAGTTTTGTTTTTGTTTGTTTTTATTTTTTGAGTCAGTGTCTAACTCTCGCCACGCTGGAGTCCAGTGGTACTCATGGCCACCACAGCCTCTACCTGCTGGATTCAGGTGATCCTTCCTCCTCAGCCTTCCAAGTAGCTTGAACTACAGATGCGCGCCACTATGTCTGGCTAATTTATTTTATTTTTTTTTTTGTAGAGATGAGGTCTTGCTCAGGCAGTCCTCTTGCCTGTGCCTCCAACGTGCTGAGATACAGGCATAATTCAACTGTGTCCAGTCACAGTGGAAAGTTTTAAAAGCAGACTAGAAGAAAGGATCTCGAAACATGAAGACAAAGCTTTCAAATTAACCCAGACAACAATAAAGAAAAAAGAACCAAGAGAATGGAACAAAGACTAAAAAAAAGTGGGATTATGTAAAATGTCCAAACCTAAGAATCACAGGTGTTCCTGAGAAAGAAGAGAAAGCAACAGGTTTGGAAAACCTATCTGAGGGAACAATTGCAGAAGATTTCCCTGGCCTTGCCATAGATTTAAACATCTAGATACAATAAACCTAGAGGAGCCCTGAAAGATTCATCACCAAAAGGTCATTCCCCCAAAATAAGCAGGGGTAGCCATTCTCATATCAGATAAAACTTACTTTAAATTAACAATGGGAAAAGACAAAGAAGGTTATTATATAAGGATAAAGGGATCAATCCAACAAGAAGATAAAACAATTTTAAATATATATATGCACCTAATACCAGAGTTCCCAGCTTTATAAAACCAATTCTGCTAAGAAAAGAGATAGCAATACAATAGTAGAGGGAGACTTCAGCACTCAACTAATAGTAATAGACAAAATGATCAAGGGAGAAAGTCAACAAAGAAACATTGGAATTAAACTGGACCCTAGAGCAAATGGACCTAATAGACATCTACGGAACACAGAAACTATAAAACTGGTCAGGCTCAGTGGCTCAGCCTGTAATCCCAGCACTTTGGGAGGCCGAGGTGAGTGGATTGCCTGAGCCCATGGGTTCGAGACCAGCCCGGGCAACTTGGCAAGACCTTGTCTCTACAATAAATAAAAAATTAACCGGGTGTGGTAGCACGCGCCTGTAGTTCCGGCTTCTTGGAAGGCTGAGATGGAAGGATTGCCAGAGCCCAGCAGGTCGACACTGGGGTGGCTGTGAGCATGACACTGTACTCCAGCCTGGGCGATGGAGTGAGACTTCAACTCAAAAAAAAAGAAAAAAGAAAGAAACTACTAAACTACAGA